TTATTTATTATCAAATAAGAAAAGTACATATGAAGCGTTCTATCGATAGTTTTCAGTTGTTATCGAAGAGAAGAAGAAGAAGCAATGAAAACGAGCTATATGGATGTATTCAGAGCAAGATTTTTGAAAACTAATAGTTGTCAATTCACATGCTCCAAAACGTATGATTATTTGACAAAAAAAATAATGTTTCATGTTTTGAAAATTCACAAGTTTCTAACCATTGACTTTTAAACTAACTAACTAACTAGTTCAGGAAATTTGTTCTATTCACTTCAATATAGTATCATTTAGAAAGTTCGTTTTGATTTCTTCTTCTTGGTCTCTTAGATAACAGGTGAAATTGTTTTCATGATACGAACAATGATACTTGATAGTAGTATTTGTTTGCATTATCTGTATAAAAAACATGTGTGAATAAACTTATTCTGCTAACAAAAAACTCAGTTCATTTGATTGAACCGACTCAGATATATTTCATTCTTTTTTTTTATCCTAGTTCTATTTATTGTCCATCCAATATATATCAAATTTACAACTCAAAAAAAAGTTTTATTTGATATGCGTTCTCACAGATCAATATCAAAGTAATAAGTCATTTAGTTACAAGATGATAATAAGATTGACGTAACGAAAAATTCATTTAAATTATATTCTCAGTAACCGAGATCCTTGGAATATGATTTTTCTTTCTTTACAGAAACGCCCAATTTAAAAGCCTAAAGTTTCTTAACATGTAAAATAAGCGGTAAAAACTATCAGGTATTTAAGAAGCTCACCTAACTACTGCTTGTTATTATTTAAAAGTAACATACGTATACATAAAGATTGTGTCATAGATTTCAAGCCATTTTGAATTTTACATGCTAAAATATATTTATCAAAGTTTTTTGATAGGATGAGAGAAATATTAATTGGACACACACAATGTAGCTCATTTGTATCGTTCTAAGTTCATGGAACCCAAAGCTAAAACGAAGTTTCGACGATGTCTTTTTCTATATGGTTAAGATAAAAATATAATGAAAAACAATGAGAAACGAATTTGATAAAATTATTTTAACATCTAACTATAGCTATTCGTTTCTTCTTTAGCTTTGCAGACGTGAATGGAAAAACTAAAAATTTCATTTTGCTGAAACAATGAATAGAATGGTGAAAGATCTATTATCTATATTAATTCTTAACTGACTATACGAGAAAAAGATTCAATAAGTCGCCAATAAATATGTCAAACGATGCATCAATAGAAATGAAAGAGTACAAAGAAAGAATCGCTTGTTAGTTATGTAATGTGAGTGAAAGACAAAAATATCGAAACAAAACAGAAAATTAATAAAAATAACACGGAGATGAACAAAATCGAATTGAAGAGAAGAAAAAACGAAAAAAAAATGTATATATGAAACTGTAAATAAACGATTAGGTTATTAACATAAACTTTTACAGAGACAAAATATTTTCAAAAAATGATGAAATCACTATACGAAAACTATTCTGAACTAGAGAACTCAATGTACTCAATTATTCAAAAGAGATGAAGACTCATGACATATTGAATACCGTTCTTGCCTGAGATCGAACCAAAAAAAACTCATAATTGGCATTTGCAGTTGCTTCTCTGATGGAAAAATGTTATCGTGAATGTATTGTACAACTGTCTTACGGTTCATTAAAAAGAAAAATTAGTAAATCACATCATGGATTAAAAATATCGACTAATACACAATATGTAAAATTAATCACACAATTGAAAGAGAGAAAGAATGAAATAATATATTATCAGCTTTGATCCATAATAGAATTTCAATAGCACTAAGAGAAGTCGACCATGAAATAAATCAGTGAGAGATTCTTATTACGATAAAAACAAAAGAAAAAAACATCTCGAAAACTTTTATGATCTGGCAAGTATTAGAAACATGGAACGAACATATATAACGATAACTATGCTACATCATTAGTAGATCAGAACCAATTTTAAACATCGAGAAAAATAATGCATAAAATGAGTTAAACAAACAGATAATAGAAACAAGCATCAACTTGTACATATGTTAAAGAAAACAGTCGCATATCTTGATGAATATCGTATTTTGTATCATTTTTAGAAATTGACTTGTCATTCTGCTAAGAAATCACAGTGACCAATAAATAAGTTTTCATATCTGGTGTGTTCATATAATAGAAATGGTCGGTAGAGCCCGATGATCCATAAAAAATCCGAGAACTCGAACAAATCTAAAGAACTCAAACTATCGCAGGAATCTAAGGGGTTCAAGTTGTTTGAGAACTGCAAGAAATCCATGAATTCGAAAGATTCCTTAAAAAAGGGCGGCATCGAAAGAATTAAAAAATTTTCGGTATCATGTGAATTCAGAGAACTTAACAATTGGTGGGAACCTAGACAACACAAGAATTCCTAAGGAATACAGAAAACAGAAAGAAAGAAAGAAAGAAGTCAAAGATTTAGAAGGAATCCAAAAAGTGCAAAAGCATGATAAGATTCAAATGAGATCAAGAATTCGAAAAGCTATCAAAAATCAAAGAAAGATAGTGAGCTTCAGGAACACAAGACATGTCTTTCAAGCAGATGG